GCTGCGGCCACCAGGCCCCCTGGGAAGCATGTCCACAGCCCCACACTGCTGTGCTCTGGCTCCGTCCCCCGTCTCTGCCCGCCGCTGAACCCGAATCTGCTCACACCCCTGCCACTAGAGGCCGGAGGGAGGCTCTGGGTCTGACTCACCCAGGCACAGAACAGGGCCCACGGATGGGGCGTCCAGCAGAGGACCCCCTTAGGGTCCTGCTTGCCTCTTCCTGACCAAGCCTCAACGCATTCATCCATAAAAGGGGGCGGCAGGGGCAGTGACTTCGGCTGTCATCCTAAATACCCAGCGAGGGAGCTCAGCAAGGGGAGGTGCTTACCACAGGGGCTCAGCAAATCCGAGCCACAGAGCTGTCCCTGTGCTGCTGGGTGTGGCCCATGCCAGCCCTAGTGCTAGGCCCTTCCTAAGTATGTCTGGGGCTGAGCTGAGTGCGGCCTGTGGCTCCCCAGGAACTGCTCCCAGGAGTTTGATCCCTTCCCTGCCACCCCAGCCAGGGCCAGCTCCTCCACCTCTCCACCCCTCCCCGGAACAAGAGGCTGCCCCAACCACAGGCTTGTTGCTCTCGGGAGAAACCAGCAGCCAGGCATCTCCCCATGCTGGTTCTGCAGCCCCCAGGCTTCCAGCAGGACCCACTGGGCTAAGGCTGCAAGCACCCTCAGGCCCAGCCTCAGCCCTTATCAGATCAAAACCCCTAAGATTAGCAAGGGCTCAGGCAGGCTGAGGGAAAAGCTGGAGGGGGAGGGCCTAGCACTCTGGGAGGCTGAGGCAGGCGGGTCTCAAGCTCAAGCCCACCTGGGCAACTTAGAGACTTAGCAACTCGGCCTCAAAATAAAATATAAAGGCCTAGAAATATAGCTCAGTGAGACAGTCTTGGGATCAATCCCTAGCACCGAGGGGGGAAAAAGGTGGAGGCCCTAGATCCAGAGGCTGAAGCCCTTCAAAGCCAGGTCAAAATGCCCAGAGAGGATGCAGGCAGGTGAGCAGGGTCAGCAGGAGCCCTCTGCTCCAGACACCCCACTCGCTTCCACGGATCCCGAGGACAAGGCTCGTGGCAATGGTTACAACCCTGGGGGCACTTAATGCAGTCCAGCACCTTGGAGGACCCTGGAGAGAGCTGTCTGCGCCTGGCAGGCAAAGCCAGCTCTGCACAAGAGCCAAGCGGAGGGCCCGTGCGCCTGCCTTGGCGGCTGCCCACAAGTGGAAGGGTGCTGCCAGTGACAGACAGCAGGAGGGCTGAGCACTGCCCCACCAGCAGCAAGGGCCTGGGGAGGAGCAGACCCAGAGGGAGCGCACAGAGCCAGGCACCCTCCCCCAGCCCTCCCCCAGCCCCTCCATTATGCAAATCAAATGACTACACACATATTTGCATAATTCATGCGTTATTAATACGTGCTCTTGTCAGGCTTTTAGACTTTATAAAGCAATTTTGCTACCTTTAATGGAGAGTCAGAGACACTTTTCTACAGGGAGATGTTCTGTCTTTTTCTCATCAACACAGTAACGGTCTCTGGACCCTAAGTTAGGTAGAGTCTGCGGCAGTAATGAAGTGGCTTCCCAGCAGGAACATAAGCCAGCACAGTCCACGCCTTAGCCAAGAGTCTGTGGGGCTGGGCTCCCTAACACACCTGTTACTACCATGGCACCCAAGGGCTGTGCACACCCAGACTGGCGCATGGTGCCCAGCAGAGCAGAGCAGAGCAGAGCAGAGCAGAGCAGAGGAGGAAGAGACTGTAGATTTTATTATTGTGAAGTCACTTTGGATTACTGGATGACTTAATAACAAAATCCCTACTCTGCATTTTTATCACTTTTTAAAAATTGTTTTTACTCCACTATCAGAATTAATGCCCACAGTAAGCCTCACAGATTGGAAGGACAGCACTGAATTCCCATTTAGTGGTGAAGAAACTGAGGTACAGGGGAGACTTATTCACCCAAGATCAAATCTAGGCTCTCTGTATTCCCACTACTTTAGAGTTAGTAAATGCCTTGCCACTGCTCCCACCCATTTGCCTGCACAGACATCACAAATCACCTTTCCATTGCTCCCTATCTCCTTGCCAGGACAGGCATCACAAATCAATCTCAGCACTTCTCCCACCCACCTCAGACAGTACCTAAGAACCCTCACATCAAGCCCTTCTGGCAGTTGGTACCAATAGTTCAGAGTTGACACCCAGATAAAACCTGTCTGTGATTCCTGCACTATCTCCTGCCAACTGCTCAGCATCCAGCCAAGGCACTGATAGTGCCACAAGTTTCTGGGAATTGCCTGTGGGTTGGGCTTGGCCTGCTGCTCAGCCTCAGGAGCCAGACAGCCACTGCCAGGCTGCTCCCCAGGTCCTGACAGGCGCCAAGTGGAACCAGACGCACCTGTCTTCAGGAGCAGATCCGAAAGAGGGGCTGTCCTCACTACAGGGTCACAGCCACATGGGACCACTGAGGCCCACCTTGCCCACCTGCAGATGTCTGCTTCCAGAATGGACCTGGCCTTACTGGCGTAACTTGAGGTCAGCCAAGGGTTCCGCTAGCAAAGGGGCTGAGATGCCGTGGCACGAGCACACGTGCCCACACACTGCTCAGCCAGCCCTAGGGGCACACCTGTCCTCTTGCACACCCACCGGGCCTCCTCCAATCTGGGGAAACATTCCCACATCCCACAGCAGCCCCTCCGCGCCCTGAGTAAGAGCAACACATGCCTCAGGGTGTCCAGTGTGGGCCTCAGCACGTCTCTGCATCCAGGGTAAAGAAATAGAAATCCGCCCTCCCCAAGCCCGAGGGAGGTGGACAACCCTCTGCCCACCCCAAGGGCCGGACAAGGCCTCTCCCAGCCGCAGGCCACGCTGTCCCCTCACCTGCTCCTCTGCCCTCAGCTCACGGTGAGGCCCCTCCCACTCCCCGGGGAGGTCTCCAGGGCCCCAGGTCCGAGCCCCACTGCAACAGCATGGGCTTGTTCTCCAGATCATCGGGGTTCCCTCCCCGGGCTCAGGCGCCCCGAAGCTCTCTCAGGGAGGATGCGGAGGCAGCCGTACTGCACGCTAGGGTAGCATCTGCCTGAGGGGAGCGGTTATCGCTGCCTGTTCAGAGAGCCGGTTCAGGGAGGACAGGGTGGCTCCGTCTTGTTTTCGTTGTACATTCTGTAGGCCGGCGTCCCCCTCACCGTCTGCCCCGTGAGCACACGGCCCCCAGCACTCGGCCGTAGCCCTTAGCTGGCCGCAGCCAGTGCTCGGAGTCCCTCCGCCTGAGCAGAAAGCCTGGCCTTCAGAAGCCCTCGTCCGCGCTGCGTTTGAGGACTGCCCTTTGGGGTGCTGACTGTGCGCTCTGCACGTCGCTGGTGCTGTCACTGCACTGTGACGCGGCCTCGGAGCAGCCCCAGCCCGACCTGCAGTGGACGAAGACCCCGAGCACAGAGCTAGTGAGTGAGGGGCGCAGCCGGGCGGGCGCTGGGGCAGCCCGGCCCCCACCCGACTCTCGCCACGTCCCCACTGCCCCTGCCGACCTGTCCTTGTTCACCGCCACACCCTAGCACTGCCGGCCCCAATGCCCTTGTCTCCTGGCAACCCCGAGCACCGCCACGCTGGCCTGGGGAGAGGGCACTGCCACAAGGGAGCCCGATGTCCACGGCTCACACTGAGAGGCAGGGGCCAGCGGGTGCACCTCGGGTCAGAGGTCAAATCCGGCGCACCCCCCTGCCCGGGGCAGAGGGCCAGCCAGCCTCTGGGGACACCGTGGCGGGAGAGGCCAGGAGGACCACGGGGAGGCACTGACAGCGCCAGGGTGGCTGGAGGCGGGCAGCCAGCAGGGACTCTGAGCCGCGGGGTGAGCATCGCTCACGGAGCCACAGGCCGGAGGACCCAGGTTTGCTCCCGGGATTGGGATTCCCTCCGGCCCTTCAAGCCAGGACACCCGCGGGGAACCCACCCCAGAGGCTTCCCGGGAGGTCGCCTCCCGCCAGGCAGGCGGGGCTGCCCTGCCCACTGTGTATCTAATCCCCTCCCACAATCACCCCAGGGGCTGCGCACCCGCGCGCGCCCGCACACACAGACGCCAGCTCAGGGAGGCCAGCCGGCCCTCAGTCCAGCGTGCCTGGGTCCTTGCGGTTCCTCCCGCATCCGCTCCTGGAGCTTTGAGAGAGCAGGGAGAGGGTGGAGGGCGTCTCCTTCGGGCCCAGCTGGAAACCAGCAGAGGGGTCCCAGAGGAGCCCCAGCAGGGCGCGGGTGCCGGCGGGGCCACCTGCTTCCCGCCCCGGGGGGGGGGGGCTGGATTTGGAGCAGGGCTGGAAGGTGGCTGAGCCGCAGCACAGACATCCACACCTCCCGGGCTCCGGGCGCCTTTCAGCCAACACCCCAGCTCCTCAGACAGGGGCTCCTGGTCCTCCCTGGTCTGCTCTCCCGGGAAAACTTTTCTCCCCTGCCCCAGGAACGCCGGGCTCTCCAACTGTGGGCCTCCGTCCTGCTCTTCCTTCCACTCAGAAACCCCCCTCTTTGGCTCCTGAAGTCCTAGCCACAGCGCAAGACCCGTCCCTTTACGAAGGCTCCGGATTGTACTGTCCTCACAGGCCCATGTCACCTGCGTCCAGCGCGCACCGTCGGCCTCACCCACATGCCGCCCTCTGTGTCCCCAACACCCAGGGCCAGCACGTGGCACAGAGGGGCAGCGTCTTCCCCGAGGTCCTCACGCTCAGGCATCGGCTCAGACCTCCGCCGACATCAAGCCCTGTCCCCCCTGGACGCCGGCCCTCAGCTCAGCCAAGCGCCACTTCCCAGGGTGGCCGATGGGGCATCCTGGCCCGCTCACCTCCGGCCGGAACCCTGTCTCCCACTCACAGGAGCAGAAATGATAGCCCCACGTCGCCCTGGCAACTCCGTCTCCCCAGATGGGGACTGAGGCTCCACTGTTGGAGGAAACCAACACCACAGGCGAGATGAAGCAGGCCTGGCAGGGCAGCCCCGAGATGTGGCCTCGCAGGGCCCAGGGTTCCCAGCATCCTCGCCTGGCCTGGGCTTCGAAGCCCATCAACCCCCGGCTGCCTGTTCCCCGCACATCCCAGCTGACCAGTGCTCTCCCCACACAGGCTCCACGGGGTCCCCACCTTGCCGTTCACACGCCAGACTTCCCAGGACACAAAGACGGGAAAACAGAAGTGCGGAGGCCTGAGGCATCTGCACCTGAACTTAGGGCTTCCCGCTCTGGTCCGGAGAACTTGGTAACACAGGGCTGCCCTTGGGAAAGGGGCAGAAGGCGCAGAACTGCCGCTGACAGAGCAGCTGGGCTCATCTTCCCATTGGCCCTTGTGAGCAGCCTGCGGGAAGGAGTCACCTAACGAGGCCTCCTCAACCACCCCCCACCACACCTGGGGCCAGGAAGTCCTTGGCTCCAGCAAGCATCGCTGGCCCTTCCCGCTAGATGCCTGTGACCTCCCTCCCCTGGCTGAGATGACAAAACCTCTCCAGACTTAGCTAAGTGTCTCCACGGGAGCAAAGGCACCCTCATTGGTAATCTCTGATCCGAAGGCCAGTTAGATCCCAGGGCTCAAGAAAAGGAAGAGGCCCTGCCTCTTCTCACCTTCTCTCCCACGCGTGCTCCTCCTGGTCCCCAGCTGGCTCCGAGGCCACTCTGCACCCTCTCCCTCCTCTGCCAGGGAGGGTGGCCTGTCACAAGCATCCCCTAGCACCCACACTCGCGGAGGGGGGATCAACGCTGACTAAGTGTCCCTGGGTCAAGGTCCTCCTTAACACCACGAACTCCTGGAAGGTGAGGAGGACTCCCTGCCTCCCCTGAGCAGCAGTTGGACAAGCAGATTCAGCAATTAAGTCACTGAAGTAAAACAGCCAACAAGAGTCAGGATCCAGCTTCAAGCCAGGTCGAAGCCCCACATCCAGCAGCGGGGGGGCCTTGGTCCATGGGCACCAGTACCCCACCCCCTGGGCCCGGCTCTCAGCACCAGACACTGGGAGGCTTGGGAGAGGGGTTTTTTCTGGTACTGAGGACTGAACTCAGGGACACTCTACCACTGAGCGACATCCCAGCCCCTTTTATTATTTGGAGGGGGGGTGGATCTTGCTAAGTTCCCAGGGTGGCTACAAAGGTGTGATTCTCCTGCCTCAGCCTCCTGAGTAGCTGGGATTGCAGACATGCACCACCATGCCTGGCAAAGGAAAGGATCTTAGAAACCATTCCTCTCCTTTCCTCGCTCTTGTGCCAGTCTTAAAGGAAACAGCTGCAGGGGCTTCTGAGGGTCCCTAAGAGCCTGGGAACTCCATGGGCTTTGGGCGCTGGCTGACAGAGCAGTTAAACATGGGGCTGGTGACCCCAGTATGGAGCCCTTACTGCAAGGCCTTGAGCTAGCTGTTCCTCCTCTCTGGGCTGTAGACCCCTCCCTCCTCGTGCTCTGTGGAGCTGAAGGTGCTGGGAAAGCAGGAACATGCATCTGTGCTGCTCTGCATTACTGCAGGACCTTTCCATACATCAGGCCTCTCGGTCACACAGGGAGAACTCTGCCATCTATGTCCCTCTCTCTCTCCCTCCCTCCCTCCCTCCCTCCTCTCTTTTTTTCTTTTTTTTGGTACCAGGGATTGAACTCGGGTCCTTGTGCTTGCAAGGCAGGCGGCAGAATGACTCTCTCTTTTTCCAGCGGCTCTCAGGCCAGCACATGGCAGGGAGCTAGGACCTGGAAGGCTGGTCTGACCCAGGAGAGCCCTGGCAACTGCCAGGGACCTTGGGGGAGTGAACACCACGGTGCTGGAGGAACAGAATTGATGTGCAAGTTTTCAAAGGTGTCCAGCCAGCCTTCCCACAACTGCCCTCTGTCACGGGTGGAGCCCAGGCCGATGCCGTCCACAGTTCCGGGTGCTGTTCTCACAGCTTCTGGGCCACACGCTACTCACACTGTACTGAAACTGACACGCTTCAAACCCAACACGTCCAGCACAAACCCCTCTCTTCCCCCAGAACTGCTTCTCCCAAGGTCTTCTCCAACCAGTTAGCAGAGACTCCCTCCTTCCAGTTGCTTGGGCCAAAAGTCTTACCCATCCTCAACTTCCCCTTTCACTCACCGAAGTCACCCGCAGCGCCTTCCTTCCAAACTTTCCATTCTTGCCATCACAAATCACCACCTGGCCTAAATCACCACAGCTCACCCGACTGTCCTCAGCCTTTGCAGGGCTCCCTGTCTGTTTCGAGCTCTTCATCTGGAATCCACACGCCCTGCACCTCTCTTCTCACCACACATCCACAGCCCTGCAGAGTCCATCTGGCCCCTCTGGCCCCAGCTCCCCATCACTCAGCTGCCCCACAGTCAGCCCCACAGGTGCCCCAGCGGCCCTGAGAACTAACTTTCCAGTCCACAGACGCAGCCGGAGCCCCTCCTGCGCCTGCAGTGCTGCTGGTGCCACTAACCTTCACGTGCACTTCGCTGTCCAACTTTAATGTACAAAGCGGTGCAGTCTTCGCTTACTAGAAAACTCTTAGGTATGTCTGCGATAACGTGGATGTTTACTTAACTATCAATTTTGGAAACCCTATACAGGCCCTTACTCAATCTGATAAAAGCCAGTGGTGACAAACCTACTACCAACATCATATTAAATGGGGAAAAACTGAAAGCTTTTCCTCTAAAATCAGAAATAAGACAAGGGTGTCACCACTATCCTGTTCAACACAGTACTTAAAACATTAGAGCAATTAGCCAAGAGAAAGAAATAAAAGGGGACATGCATCTGCAGATGACATGATCCTCTACACAGAAGCCCCCCCGCAAATCCACCAAAGACTCTTACAATTAATAACCAAAATTCACTAATGTGGCAGGATACAAAATCAACACACACAAAATTCAATAGTGTTCCTGTACAGTAATAATGAACAAGCTGAGAAACAAATTAGGAAAAAACACCATTCACAACAGCACCAAGAAAAATCAAATACTTAGGAATTAGCCTAAGAAAATGAAAGGCCTCTGCAATGAAAACTACAGTACTCTGAAAAAGGAAATCAAAGAGGACATCAGAAAATGGGAAAACATCCCCTGTTGCTGAATAGGCAGAACCAATATAGTCAAAATGCCTCTACTTCCAAAACTGACACACAGATTTAATGCAATCCCAGTCAAAACACCAACAGCATACCTCACAGAGATGGAGAAAACAATCCTAAAATTCATATGGAATCAGAAGAGATTCAGAGTAGCAAAAGCAATGCTGGGTAACAAGAGCAAAGCAGGAAGCATCACGATCTCAGATTTGAAGTTATATTACAAAGCTACATGAACAAAAACAGCATAGCACTGGCACAAAAACAGACGTGCAGGTCAGTGGAACAGAAAAGAGGCTGCAGAAACAACTCCAAACACATGTAACTATCTGAGCTTTGACAAAGGGACCAAAAACACACACTGGAGGAAAGACAGCCTCTTTAATAAATGGTGCTGGGAAAACTGGCTGTCCACATGCAGAAGAATGACTGCAGACCCGTGTCTCTCATCAGGTACCCAACTACACTCAAAATGGATCCAGGAACTAATGTTAAACCAGAAACACGTAACCTGCTGGAAGATAAAATAGGTAAAACTCTTGAAATCAGAGGCGCAGGCTGGGACTTTCTGAACAGAGCCAGGTTGCACAGGAAAAAGTTCTGAGAATCAACAAATGGGATCCTGTGAAATTACAAACCTTCTGCACAGCCAAAGAAACAGCCAAAGACTGAAAGACAACCCACAGAATGGGAAAAACTTTGCCTGCTATTCCTCAGGAAGAGGACTCGTATGTGGAACATATAAAGAACTCAAAAATAGTAGATCCCCAAAATAAAAGACTCGATCAAACATGGGCAAGTTGGGCCGGGGATTTAGCTCAGTGGTTCCGGCCCCTGCCTTGCAAGCACAAGGTTCCAAGTTCAATCCCCAGTACCAAAAAAAAAAAAAAAAAAATCCAAACAAACAGGGACAAGTGAAATGAACAAATGAAATGAACATGGACAACAGAAGTGAACAGAACAGATCACCACCACAGCTGGCTTCACAAAATAAATACAAATGGCCAAAAATTCTTGAGGAAATGCTCAACATCGCTGGCCACTAGAGGAATGTAAATTAAACCACTCTGAGATTCCACCTCACCCCAGAAAGAAGGGCCATCGGCAAGAAATCAAATAATAACAAATGCTGGTGAGGCTTTGAGGAAAAAAGAGCCCTTCTACATTGCTGGTGGGAATGTAAACTGCCACAACCACTACAGAAATCACTGGGCGGATTCCTCAAAACACTAAAACTAGGCATTCCATTTGACCCAGCTATCCCCCTTCTAGGTATCTTCCCAAGAGGGTTAAAGATATCATATTACAGTGATCCATGCACAGCCATGTTTATAGAATTCAGAATTGCTAAATCCTGGAAGCAGCCTATATTACATGTCCATCAACAAAAGAATGGATAAAGAAGATGTAGTATTAACACACAATGGAGTACTACTCTGCCATAAAGAAGGATAAACTTGAGTCATTTGTAGGAAAATGGATGCGCCTTGAGACCATCATGTTAAGTGAAATAAATCAGACACACGGGTTAAATATTGCACGGTTTCTCTTATATGAGAAACCGAAATTATAAATGAAGAGCAAAGCTAGATAATAGGAAATAGGGAGATAGATCTTTCTCAAATGGGCAGGGGATCAAGTGATGGAGGGAGGAGGTGGGAGGGAAGGAAAGAGGCTGAAAAGAAGAACGAAGATGTGCTATGCACTTGTGCCGACTCCACATGAGGAACGTAAGCATCAGGACTGTAAACATGCACTAATATCATAAAAACAAAAATAAAAATTTTGCAGCCCTTACATTCAGATTGCATATTTCCAGTGAAGATTTAGTGTCTGATTGAGATGGGTTGTATTCAGTATAAAAAATAGATTGTTCCTTTTTTTTTAATAATTTTTACACTAATGACATATCAAATTTATAATATTTTGGCCATACCAGGTTAAGTGAAAAATACTAACATTGATCTCATATCTCTTCTCCCCTGCATGGGGGGGGGGGGGGCACTGGGGACTGAACCCAGGGCCTTTGCACTGAGCTACATCCGCATCCTTTTTTATTTTTTATTTTCTTTGGTACCGGGGATCAAACTCGGGTTCTTGCGCTTGCGCAGCAGGCGGCAGAACCACTGAGCTAAATCCCCGGCCTTATTTTCTTGAGACGGGGTCTTGAAAGTCGCTAAGTTGCTCAGTCTGGGCTGAGACTTGCAGCCCTCCTGCCTCGGCCTCCCAGACTGTTGGTCCTATGGGCGATCACCACCACGCCTGGCTTCTTACTTTTCAAAATATCGCTGCTAGAACACCTAGGGACAGAGTTGGCTCCCGTTCTATTTCTGTTAAACGGCGCTGTACAGACCCAACCAGCATACTCCTGACCCAGGGTTCTGCCGCTGCTCTTCCCCCACCCTGAGAGAGCTGCCTGTCCCAGCCTCTCTCGCTGATGGTCAGGCTCCGTGAGGCGGCCCTGAACTCTTATTTAAACTACGCCCCCCAAGCCCTGCTCCCATCCAGCCTTCTTTGTCTTCACAACACTCGGAGCATAATATGTAATGAACTGATCTCGTTTACTTCCAGGCTCACCTACTGAAACATGAGTTCCTGAGGGCCAGGGTTTTGGCTCTTTTTCTCCTTCTGCCCGAGGTGCTTTACCAATATGCTGGCACAAAACAAGCGCTTGATGGCTATTTAGTGGGTGAGTGAAATTCCCGCTCTGCCTGAGCTGCCTCCTCAGCAGGATGGGTCTCAAGGGCAGTTCGGGCACACAGCAGGTCCTTAGAGCTGCTGGGTCGAGCTGATCCGGTGCCAGGTCACTGGGGAAACAGAGGCAGCTCAGCTGAGTCACCCGACAGAAGGCAGCAGCACGAGCGGAGCCGCGGGGCCTTGAACGGAACACTGCGTCCCCGCCAGCCCCGCCCCTCTCCCCAACCTGGGAAAGCTCCTGCAGCCCGCAGCCGTGGGCACCTCCAGGGAAGGTACATTTCCTTTCCTTTCCATCGATTTCTGTTCTCCCAGTGAGAAGACAAATCTGCTTTGCTTCCACCAGAAGGCCTTGGGCCACGGTGCCTTGCATTATAGTAATTAAATCCCTGCTGCTAGGAGGGTTCAGGAGACAAACAGGCCTCCTGCCAAGGGCTGGCCAGCAGGGCCCGTCTCTGCTGTCTGCCGTGAGTGAGAAATCCACTTCCCACGATGCCTTCTCGGGTAGTCACGTGGGGGCGGGAAGATGGACTCTTCCATCGAACTCCACCACAGTCACTGCCCAGAGCCGCCACGACGATCCCCATCCTACGCCTGAGCCAGCTCGCTGCTCCCACTCCAGACAGTAACACAGAGGCCCTGGAACCAGGCCAGCCCAGGCCTGGGCAGGCGCCCTCGACACCCAGACCAGCCGATCGTCATGGAGAGTCGAAGGGCCACACACTCTGGGACGGCAGCTCCTCACTGGGCACTCACAACCCCAGGACACCAAGATCCAGGGTGCGGGGCCACCTCCCAGAGCGCACAGCCAGGGAGGCACTGAAGCCAGGTGAGCGGGCCGCACTGCCCGGCCAGGGGGATCGCAGGGAGGGTGGCCCAAGTGAAGGCCAGGTGGCCTTCAGAAATGAGGGCAGAGGCCAGCGGAAGGCAGGGAGCCTTGGCCTCAGGTCTGTGCGCCAAATCAGGGCCGCGGTTTGGCTTTGACTTGGTCAGAGCTCACAGCACAGCCACGAGTGTCAGTGGGGCCCAGAGCTCTTGGGGCAGCGGTTCCCACACAGATGCCCCTGGGACTCGGAGCTGAGGCAAGAGAGGCTGCCACCAGGGCAGACACTCTGGGGGCCTCCCAGGGAGGGGACAGGGCTGCAGGGCGGGCGCAGGCTGCTCGGTCTGTCTCCGGGTCTGTGGGGAAAGCCTGCACACCTGGCATCCATCATGCCCTTTGCCAGCTGCCCTCACTTTGGGGTCTCAGTCAGCTCATACCCTCGGGGATGGCACCGTCGCCCCATCGGCGGCTTGGAGACTTGGGGCATCACAAAGGCTGCTGAGGCTCAGCTGCACCCCGCAGGCCGCACTGTCCCCAGCCGCAGCCCCAAGGTTCTGCATCCCCCTGACCTGGCCCCAGAGCACGGCGGGCATGGGCACAGGGGCGCAGGGGAGGGGAGACCTGAGGGAGAGGGCAGCTTCTTGGCTTGGACTTGCCCATCGGAGGGGACCCAAAAGGCGAATGCCACCTGAGGCTTGGCTTCAGACACAGCCCAGCCTCGAACCCCAGCAGCACTGCTCCCTCCACCGCTCTGAGCGTGGTCTGTCTGCTGTGCGATGGGGTGGTCACACCGCCTTGCCTGACTGCTGTGAGGATTCCAGGAGACAAACGCTCATTGCCTCCTCTCCCCATCTGCCCCTCCTCTCACTCCTGACTAAGACCCTTGTCACCTGGGAGTCATTTTGACAGAAGAGGAGTTTGTGTTCTAGGAGAACAGTGCGTCCTCTCAGGCTGCCAGGGATAGAGCCTTACATATGATCCCACCTGCCACCCACGAGGAGACCCTCATGACTCAGCCTCAGCCGAGTCTTGCTGTCAGCTCCCTCAATTCCCCCAATTCTTGAGGGATCCCGAGGTCCCCAGCAGACAGCGTGGACCCAGTCTGGCGCCTTGTGCCAGGACACCCTCCCACCGGGCTCAGGGCTCAGCACGCCTCTTCCCCAGGAGCAGGAAGCATCTCAGCAGAACCGAACACCAGGGCCAGCGCAGAGCAGGAGAGGCAGGAGCCAGGGGCCCAGCTGCGGATGGCTGAGTCTGATCCCAGGGCCACAGAGATCCCAGGAGAGACGGCAAAGGCCGAGGTCTCTCTATTGGGCTTGGACAAGAGTCCAGGGCCTGGGCCGGGGATTTAGCTCAGTGGTTTCGCCCCCTGCTGCACAAGCGCAAAGACCTGAGTTAGATCCCTGGTACCAAAAAAAGAAAAAGAGTCCGGGGCCAGGTGTGTGCCACTTTCTTTTTCAAGAAAAAGAAAAATCTTTTAAATTTTTGCAGCTCTGGGGATTGAATCCAGGATATGAGCCACGTTCAATCCCCCAGCTCCACCCTCAGCAAAAGGAATTAAAAGACCTCATTTCGGGCCGGGGATTTAGCTCAGTGGTTCCGTCGCCTGTCTCCCAACTGCAAGGTCCTGAGTTTGATCCCCCGTACAAAAAAAACACCTCATTTCAGACAAGCCGATGCCCCGGGCCACCCAGCTAATGGGCCGGGCACTGCCCCTGGGCTGTGGCGAAAGCCCAAGCTCCAGAGTGGAGCCCTGCCCAGCCCTGACTCCAGGCCTTAGGGACACGGACCCTCGGCACACCTGGAGCCTGTGCTGCTTCGGGACTGGAAAAAGAAACAGAGAGGAAGGACTAAAACGGAACTCTTGTCCTCCTGCTGCACCTTTACCACTTATGACGCTGAGGAGCCTTGGATAAGTCATGCATCTTCTCTGGGCCTTGGAGTCCTGTGGGGGACACACCTTGCCTGCCTTCCCCCTGGCCTGTGCAGCTTGGCCACTCGGGCCGAGTATGACACCACACAGGGTAGACACGGCCCAGCTGCCTGCCTGTCCGTGCCCCTGTCTGTCCGTCAGCGCAGAGCCCCTCCAAGGCAGTTGGGCCCAGAGCTACAGATTCCCCAGCCTCGCCCTGGGTGAAGGCAACATCCCCACGTGTCAAGGCAATCTGGGGAGCCAACATCTTACCCACTGGAAGCCGGAAAACAAAGAAAATGGCTAAGCCCCAATTTGTTAAAATCAGAAATTCCAAAAAAGAGAAAAGGTTCAGCAAAAAATCCCTGCTGGTGTAACCTTGCACGAAGGCAAACGGGTGCCAACTCGGGCGAGAGCACCAGGAGGAACTACCGCTTGCTGGCAGCCTGGGATGTGCCAGCCACTTCGCTAGCACTCACCCAGCCATTATCGGGGATGACTCACCAGGCTGGCGGATGCCAGCACCCCATTTCTAAATGGGGAAACTGAGGCCCCCAAGCCCTAAGGTGACCAGCAGTGAGGGGTGGGCCAGAATTAGCACCTGGACAGTTCTGCCCGCCTCCCCACAGGGTCCCCTCAGTTCAGAGCAGACCTCTGCCTCCTGACTGCTGGGCCACCCTGGGCAAGCTACAGCCATCACAGCTCCTCCATCCATGGCCTGAAGCCAAACACAGACAACGGCCTCTGCCTGCCGCTGACAGGCGCTACCTGCAAGCACCAAGGGGTGGGGACCCACGCAGCCCCTGTGAGCTCGGTCCTTCAGTCCTGCTTTCCTGCTGTCTGGCATAAGCACCCTTCTTGTTCTTCAAGAAAAATGCCCAACAAGCTGACTCAAACAGACAGATGCTGATTTGCATATTGTTTCACACATCATGTGCATGTGGCTCATCTAGTATCACCAAGGCTCTGCTCAGAATACAGCTCCGCTCACCCTGTGACCAGGCTTTGTAGGAAATTTAGCAACATGGCTTCCACACGGGCACACCAGGCCCACCATCCCAGGCCTCGGGTGGCCTCTCCCCAGAGCCCCTGGCTCTCAGCCTCCTCCTGGCCGGTCATCTCAAGCACTCTGACCTCCCTCCGGGCCCCCCAGAGTTTATTTTGCTCTTTCTCCACCTGTCTATTTGAGTGTCCGTGCCCAGTGAGTTACGCCCAGACCACCGATAGCCAAGTGCAGTGACTGCCGGTGGGATGAGGAGGTTCCCGAAGGCCAGGCCATCCAGCCACACCTTCCAGGAAAGCGGCCTCTCCTCTCCCTCTGAGAGCCGTCCAGAATCAGCAGGGGCAGCCTGTCGTAGGGGTGAGCCCTGCCAGGAGAAGCAGGGCACATCCCGATTATGAGCCCCCCTCCCGGTGCAGGCACCGACTGCTCTGCCGCCCCGGCACAGGGAGAGGTGACGCTGCGGGGCCCTCCAGCGACTGCTAAGAGCCACAGCTGGCGGATGCTGAGGCTCAGCCTGTGCCCAGCTCTGGGCTGGGTGCTGCGCCACAGGCAGGGGTGTGGTCCCCCTTACCAAGCAAGGAAACGGGCTCGGGGCTCAGTTGACCCCCTAGAGAGGCCCCCAGTTCATCACCGAGTTGAGATTTGAGCCAAGCCCTTCACTACCACACCTGGCCTCCAGTGCCAGCTAAGATGGCTGAGACAGGAACTGTGGGTCTGCAGGGCACAGAATGCCAAGCTCCTGGCGATTTCCTAAAGACTCCGCCCAACACGGTGCCACCCCCAGCCGTGTATCCCTGCCTGGGGCCTCTCAGGGTGAGGCCCGGCCTCGGCCCACCAGGCTTCTTTCCTCTCTCCTCTTCCTGCGCTCCTCATGCCAGAAACTTCGAGTTTTGCCGCCCACCTGCTCTGCACCCTTCATCCCAGGGCCATGTTCTCGCCTCAGAAAGCGGCCGGCCCAGGATCCCACTCCCTGCCGCCATCCTGGCCTGTCCAGGCCAGGGACCAACACTATGAACACGGACAGCCTGGAGCCAGGCCTGCTGCCCAAAGGGTGCACCTGAAGAAGTGGGTCTGCAGGGAGCCTGAACAAGACAGCAGCTCTCAGTCCTTGTGAGGGAACCGATCTGGAATCAGATCACAACACCCTGGCACAAGGAAAGCAGTCTGGTCTTACTCTTAAGCTAGAGAAAACCAAAGCCCAGCAAGGGGAAGACTTGACAAAGACCACATGAGCTAGAAGCAAGAGGTAGGAGGCCCTCCAAGGGCTCCTCTAACACAGAGGCAAGCCTCCCTCTGCTCCAGCTGCCCGAGTGAAGGCCCGAGGCACAGCCAGGGAGGAGGGCAGGGGGCTCACAGAATGGAGAAGAAAATTCCAGAGCCAATCACAGAGAAGCCTGAGAGGCCTCCTCAGCCAAACTCCCCGCCAGGCTTGTGGTGGGGTTTGGACCATGGAACCCAGC